ACGTGAAGTGGCGTCGTAGAACTCGGTGAAAAGGCGGTGAAAAACGCGGTGATATTCGCGGTGATATGCAGTGGTCGTTAAATATATTCTCTACCAGTATTTTTCATATCACGGAAAAAAATTTTCCGGAAAAAATCTCAAACTCAGCTGAGCAAAGCAAAAACACAATTTCCAAATCCATACCAAAACTCACCCACAAGTGCCAGAATATTGCAACGATACAGCATCTCAACTATGCCGATTCCACCATTAGCATCAGCAATATCAGATCTCCGACATACCACACTTTCATCACTTCGTGGTTCTTCCAAATTCGACTCGTTTTCTGTCGTAATAACATCTCTAAATCGCCGGCTAAATGCTGGCTTGAAAGGGTCAACACTGTAGACTCGAAAGCCATCCTCCGTACCTGATATGAAGAAATCATTCAGCGTACTAGGTCCTCGTGATGGAGGTCGCTAAGTTTGATCGTTGTGAATATGGTGAACGCCAACAAAAATTCCATGAAATTTTTCCCCGAATTTTCCCATCGTCATCAACGCGCTCACTCGTCAACGCACATAGCCACGTAATGCTGTAAAATGTATTTTTTACTACTGATTTTCATATCACAAGCAAAATTCTAACACAGCGAACAAGATTCAACGCTTTCTATTTTTGGAAATAAACATGATAACAATGTGAATCGATTGACACCAACTTTTTCACGAGCGTTACGTAATCTCAAAATGAAGAACGCCATCTCGGTTTGCACTACAATTTCGTCGCGCGTGACTCACCGACGACGAAGCAGGTCTGGTCCTGGTTAACTGTGAGGTACAGCAAGTCGTTGAGATGATTAACAGACAGATCCATTTACGTAAGCAAGTACAGACAACAACTGCCATTGCGTAATCCAAAGGTCCCCGGTTCGATTCCCACACCCTCCATTTTTTTATCATATAATCAAACACAATCAAAATTATTTTTTACGGTCATAATTCGTTAATTTTTAATTTTTTTCCGCGTTTTTTATATCCAAGCTTAGCATTCCTACACAACTAGGGAAATTCCCAGAAAAATCACTCAGAAAAAAATCACCGCGCGCCCAAAAATTGAATTTGGTTAATTTCAAAAACTCCCCCACTGGAATTCACCCGTCTCGCGAGCGCTTGATTTTTGCGGCAGAGGCAATTCAAATTCCCGACAGATTATGTGATTCTCAACGGTCCCAAAATGAATATCGCGCGATTTTTGCAAAAAATTTTGGCAGGAATATTTCCATTCTACGGTAGCCGCTCTACTTATCTTTTTTTTCACACCCGATGATCATAGAGGAGCCATCATCTGGCTTTATACGGATGGAATAAAGCCAGATAAAATACATCTTTGAGAATTATTTTCTGCAGAACGTCTGCAGAAATTATTTCTGCATAGCGCTAAAGAAAAATACAGAAAATACTGTTTTTTACTAACGAAAAAAATACAGAAAATACTGTTTTTTACTAAAAAAAATTTGACCAACTTAATATCAACCAACGAGTATTGACGAGGAAAGGACCCTTTTATGACTTCTCTGGCCCGGCGAAGTCAATTCACAAGAGTAAGCATTCGTAAAAATCAATTTGTTCGACACAATCAAGAAAACTATTTTCTTCAGAAAAATGCAATTTTGATATTCATCATAAGATTTTCCAACACACTGAATCCAGAGAACTTATTAAAATTCAACCTCGTTGAGCGTGTGAGAGAGAGCGTACCAACTCCAGGTCTATCTTCATATTGAGACCACTCAGAAATGTGAGAAACCCACATATTGGAGTTTCACCCTAGTGATATAGAAAAAACACTAGTTGCGGAGCGAGCGAAGCGAGCGGAGCTTATGTTACTGCGCACGAACACTCGTGTGCGTGCGTCCGACCGACCGTGCGTGAGCAAAAATTTCGACCCAACCAGGGCGATTCAGAAGACAAACAGGGTATCATTCTGTCCCCCTTTGACTCCTCATCAGCGTAAAAATATAGCGAAAGTGTGGCTGTTGCTTTTCCCGCTTATTTTCGACGAAACGGTTCTTCGCACAAGAGATGAACTATTAGCTCAGTACGACTCTCAACCGAACGACCCAGGGACAAATCCCACGATGATCATTTTTCTCACATGTCTCTATAAGGAGACAGTGGTCGGCCACGTCGACGACGCCAGCCAACCCCCGACAACCTTTTGTTTTTTAGTCACCCAATTTCCAAAATAATTTCAAAAGCCCGCTGAATTCTTGATAAGAAGCTCAGCGAGCTCCGCCCATTCGCACCGAAGACCTAGTGGAAAATATGTATCACATTCCACTTCGCGAAAAACGCATGTAAGCAGCGAATAAGGCGTAAAACCCGTGAAATGCTGCGTATTTTCCACGGTGTGATCTGTCCGGTGTGATTCGCGAAGTGTTTTTAATTCACTTCATTTACATGGACTTTCATGCCACTTCACGTGAAACGGGTGAAACTCCATTCTCTCTGTGAGAAGTCTCAGTCGCCATATACAGCCAGAATCACCCATACCACACTTTCCGCACATCATCATCATCGCTTCAACTACTTATCAAATCAACAACTACCTACTGCCAGCCTACCATCTCAACGACCACTAAACCGAGAGCAGTGAAAAACTCACATCCGTACACATCTCTACAAACCAATATGAAATTCTCAATACCGTAATTCTACCCAACCTCCACTCCCAAGTTCAAATGAACTCCTCCCAGTAACTACCCGTTGAGTCTGTCCATAGCCTTCTTCTCCGACGATCGCTGCTGTCGTTTAAGGAAGAACAACACTGAGTAGTTATCCCTATCATTAACCCGACGCAATTCCCATACAAAAGAAATACATTTTTCACCCACACCTTTGCAGAAATTCTTCCACCTGAATTCACTACTACACAATTCACTCAGCGATTTTTGTGGCGCGCGGAGGCGCAAAGTCCGCATGAACGTATCAGTGATTTTTAAATATGCAGAAATACATCAGCGCGTAGTCAGGTATTTGCAAAGTGTTTCAATATCATCCAGATTAATGCATATTTGATTCGACTTGTATGCGTCATCGAAAGTCTTGGCCAACTGAGTCACTTCAGCGTGTTCTCCATGTCCCCAAGACTTGTACAAATAATACCAGGAGCGGGGATCGAACCCGCGACCTTCTGCGTGTAAGGCAGACGTCATAACCACTAGACTATCCCGGCGATGCAATCCTCACCAACAAACCAAGGTTGAGCATTAGTAAACGGGAACTTTCTCCACTATATCCTCCTCACCTAAACAGCCTGTTGCGATATATCCGCTGGGGCATTTAAATTCATTACTAATATAATCTGAGCGCATCCCCTCACATTCACCACTCCCTAGCTGAAATCTCCTCACCCTACATTCAGCACAATACCCCATTACATCGTACTTACCAACCGTATCTTCACCAAAATCTCGTTTAACCCGAAAACTTCCATCAACAAAAACGTAAACATAATTTTAACTCCAAGTTGCTTGTCGTTATCTCACTGATTGATATCGTACTCAATGTGAATGTAATTCACCACAGTTAAATCTCATTGAATCAACCATCTCTAATGCTAACAGTGGGAGATTAACCATAACTAGCAGTGAAGAACTGTACATTAAATGTGTGAGAAAAACGACAGATATTTTCATATCCATATTTTGTTTATATTTTCTTCGTGTTTTTCATATTCAGTGTTGGAATGTTCGTTAGCATCCCTCACCTGCGCTCAGGAGTTTACTCACTAATTACGGCAATTTATATACCAATTAATCAAAAATTTTATAATACCACAATTTTCTCACACTCCAAAATTTCTCCCATTTCCCAAAATCATCACCAAACACAACAACATACGACATACTTCAACTTAGAAGCCCATACGTGCTCCCCCAGCACCAACAGTAGCAGCCCCGGCTCCTGCTATCCCTTGATACGCTTTCAAGGAACGATCAAACTCCTTCTCCAACTAAGAACAATCACCACATAAACTACAAATCAACTTCTAAAAATTTCAGTGAAGAAAATTTACGTAAATTTTTTTTGCGATTTTCGTTCCCTTGGACAACCCTGATGAACAACTTTCACCATTACGAGCGATCAATAATTAAATACGGAGAGTAAAAATTCGTTACCACACTTCGTTGAACTAATACGCAACTCTACCTGGTCTCCCTTTGACCGCAACGACTTTAGTGCCTCCTTCATTGCTTCCACTGGAGTAGTCTCTGAAGAATCGAAGATCAATCTTGCACACGCAGTTTAGCGACGTTTTTACTCGGGTTAAATCGCCCAGACCAAGTAGACCGTACTAATGGGGTTTCATGATATCCAGATCCGAACAAATATTCTACGGTGAAATCGAAATTTTCTCAGAGACACTAATGCGTTCTCGAACTTGACATTCAAGTTAAATTTAAAGCCAAATATAAAAACGTTTACCCAAAATGAAACCCAGAAGCAATTCTCATTCCCTTCAAAAATAATTGCTCTAAAATCACTTTCGCGGGATTCGAACCTCCGCCTTCCCCACGAAAGACACGAACTCCAACCAACTCACGTGAAGTAACTTGAACTCTCATCAACAGTTTATTCTCCAACGGATGAGGAACCTATCACCACCTCATACATACCAACAATATAATCAAATCACCACTACCTTATACCCTGCGAATTTCACTTGTCTATTTCTCAATAATTCCGATCGTAGCGCGTGAGCAGCAGTATGGTCCTCTAGCCAAATCGTAAACGTCCCCGTGTTGTCTTGACGTAATTCCGGTTCGTAATAACTACACGCAAAAAAATACATACTATCGATTGAATAATCGATCAGTCATCGCTAGGCGATAATTCGGACGAGTTCTCGCTATGGCGCGATAGTACATATATCTACCCCTATAAATATATTGGAATATACAGTCTTGGAATTAACGATCGTGTACCTCAGCCGATTCCAGAAGCTTACTTACTAATTATAGAATTTTACATACAAGTTCGGGTAGGAGCGCACAGAAGCCAATAAAAATTCCTCGAAATTTCCACAAATGTCACCTACATATGTAGTTGACTACGTGCATATTTTCCCACACCGATTGTATATATCAATAATAAGATGTGGTTAACCAAGGTTTCCCTTTTTATTACTAATTATATATAAATATGGGGCATCCACAGAATAATGAAAACAGATGAAAACAAAAATGGTAAATAAATTATTCATCAATAATAAGTAATATGAAATGTCAGAAACACGAGAAAAAATTTTCCATATTTTCCCCATATTTTTCCACATTTTTCATTCTCAGGAGGAATATATGTTCGCTATCCTCAGCTAAGCTCAGGACTTCACTCAGAAGTTACCAATTACGGTAGAAATGTTCGCGAAACCAACAAGAATTTTTCCAAAATTTCCCAAAATTTTCCCTCTCATTACATCCTTCTTTCTCCACCATGTAAATGCTCATCTCCCTCTGGCAGCTGCAATATCTCGTCAGGATCCGGTTTATTCTCCGAGATCAGCTGCCCGGCGTGCATCGCCATAATGAACAAATAACAATAACGGGAAAACTATAGAAATTATATATTCATCTCGGACCAATTCATGCCATCTTCATAGTGAACAACACGAAAATCTGCGAGGACACCTCAACAATTGTTATAAGTCCGCCAAACCTAGTAAAATGATCACATATTTGATATTTATGTTACCGTAGTTATTTCTAAGGATCCATTTTTAGTTGTTCTTAATATATTGGAGTTTCATCCATTTAACGTGAAGTGGAAGCGTAATACTCTGTGAAAAACGCGATATTATTCGAGGTGATATGCAGTAGTCGTGAAATATATTTTCCACTACTGTTTTTAATATCACTAGGGTAAGACTCCATTGTAACTGATCACTACCAATACAGCCCAGCAACAAACGGCGAGTCTCATCGTCGACAACTCCCACACAACAACGTTATTCCCATAGAAAGGCGTCATTGCTCTCTAGTGCCTCTCCTCAAACGCTCTCTATGCAATGCTAGGTCCATAAGAGGAATCCTGCATCCGACCGCGTGCCGATATCTGGGCATAAAATAAATCTTCATAGTTAATCAGAAATTTTTGAGGAAATTTCGGGGAAATTCTCGTTGGCTTCTGTACACTTCTACCCGAATTCATACGTAAACTTTTATA